GATGGACGTGAAGAAGCTCTTTGCTCTGATTCCCCTCCAAAGCAGACCTGCATATGTTGAGTATGCTTAGGCAAAAACTACCAGTGGCAGACCTTGAAGGGCTGGGACAGCATCTGGGCCAAGGTTGCTTGTCTATGGGAAGCCTGGCCAGTCCCAGGGACTGGCAGACATAGACAGGAGCTGGCCATGGCTACCTAAGGAAGGACTCCTGTACTTTTGTATGGAGAGCTCGGCTTGGGCTAGATGAGACGCATTCCAGCACAAGCCACGTCACTTTCTGTTCAAGTTTCTTCCTTCCCCATCTTGGCTCAGAGCAGTCAGAACAGGCAAAAGCATCTCACTGCCTACTCCTGCTGGCTCTCATCATCATTCAGTCCCCACTCCGATATCTCGTGCACTCTCCACTCCGCCTTGGTGTCTGCTTCCCGGGGAACCTGCTCTGACGAAAATAGCCTGTCTGTATCTAGCTGGCAGAGGCCTGTTTAGATTAACTGCTTTATTATCACTTCTGCATATCTGGAAGGCAGCACTAGACATCATGCTATCTGGCCTAACCAAACGCCGGCAACCCGGATGGCCAGTTTCCTTTGCTCTATTCCCCCTTAGTCCCTTTGTGAGTGACTGTCATCTAAGACAATGGAGGGAGACCTTTTGAATTTCATGGCCCAGTAAAACAAACAAGCAAAATATCCAACAATCCATACAGTGTTTTAGGCTTTTTTTTTTTTTCCAATCAGGTAAAAGTATCAAAAAAATCATACTTCTATAGGTGTTTCATGAAGATAACACTTTTGACAACAACAACAACAAAGGAATCTCACAGTCTGGGAACTGAGATAAAGAAATGCTCCCTGGAGGCTCCTCATTACTCAGGTGTACTTCGCCAGATCTTCAGATGACTTCATGCCTCCTTTCTTTACAGTACTCCGCAGTAGAGCACTGTATGGCTCCACCGGCTTGTTTATTCAGTCACCTAGTGAGGGGCATCTTCATCTCAAGTTCTGACAGTTCTGAATAAAATCCCCATAAATTCTTGTGCAGACATTTATGTGGAAACAAATCTCACATTCTTTGGCTAATTACCAAATAATGAGAGTATACAACAGGAGTGTGTTCGTGTTTTAAAGGAACAAGCAAATTGTCTTCCAAGGAGGCTTTTCCAATAGTGGGTGAGAATCTCTGGTCCCCCACATTCTTGTCAGCATTTGGCCTTGCCATTGCTCTGGATTTGGCCATTACAACAGGAATGTAGTAGAATCTCATTATTGTTTTAAATTTCATTTTCCTGATGATATATAAAAAATCTTGTCATATACTTCTTTATTGTCTGTATAGATTCTTTAATAAGGTGTCTCTTGTGATTTTTGATCTATTTGTTGTTGTTATTCCTGGGACAAGATCTCAAAGGTAGCCTCAAGCTTGTCTTGTAGACAAGGCTGTCCTCAAACTCGGTGTCTCTGCCTCCCAAGTGCTGGGATACAAGTGTGCCACCATGCCTGGGTCGCTCGGAGTTTGATTTCCTGTGTGATGAAAGGAAAAAAAAAACAACTCTGAAAGGCTTAACTATTTAAATATAAAGACACAATCCCACTTGAACAATAGAGACATAAGTTAAAAGCAAAAGGTTGGAGAAACAAATGGGGTGTTTTTGTTTGTCTTTTTTTTTGTGTTCCTGGAGGCTCTTAGTAGCTACAACA